TGCTGGGAGTTCAAGGCCAGTTTGAACTACAAATTAAGACCTGGTCTCAAAAAGACAGAAAAATAAAATTAGAGCAAAAATATATTTGGACTCTGTAATTCATTCTACCTAATGCTCCCATTTTTCTGCCTCTTCTTGCAGCAAAATTCTTCAAGAGTTGCATATATTTACTGTCTAAATTACTTATCTCCAACTCCAGTCGCTCCTGAATCTGGCTCTTAGCACCACTGTTGAAGTCACTAGTACGCTTCCTGGGAGACTTCATATGAATGTAGAGTTTTATAATTTCCCTTTAGATACCTTCCACATTTATCTCTACCTAGGCTTCTCCCCTGAACTCCAGACTCATCTAAGGAACTGTTCACTTGGCAGTTCCACTTGGACGTCTAATACATTACATGTCTAAGGCTGCTAACTTGCTCTTCTCTACAGCTTTCCTCATTTCAATGAAGCGCAAATTTATCCTTTCAGATGCTCAGGTCAGAAGCCTTGAACTCATCCTTTGCTCCTTTTTCTCAAATCCCCAATCTGTCAATCCAAGTATATCTTCTTTTAAAATACCCAGAATCTCCCAGGTATGTACAGGCAGCACACACCTGTAATCCTAGCCCCCAAAGGGTGAGGCAGGAGGATCAACGATTGAGTTCAAGGACAGCCTAGGGGGCCAGGGAGATGGCTCAGTGGAATAAGCACTTCCCAGGCAAGTGCAAGGGCCTGAGTTCAATCCCCCGTTCTGCCAAAAAAAAAAAAAAAGGACAGCCCAGAAGGCATAGTGAGACCTGACTCTGTCTAAAAAAGCCACAAACAAACAAAAATTAGTCAGAATCTATTTCTTACAAACTTCAGCTATATTGTCCTGCCTAACCCTATTAAAAAAAGACCTTTCATTAACAAGTCAGAGCACTAAAATTCTGTCAACTGAGGCAAGAAGAACGATTAGTAACTAATAATTCTGAATATATTCTCAAATGTAGCTGGGCTCTCTGGCCTTATCTGGTTAGAATAATTTATGAGGACTTCAAAACTAGTCTGAAGGTCTAAAATGTAGCTTAGTGGTAACACATACCCTTAACCTGCAAAATTGGCTTGGGTCCAATTCCTAGCACCCAACAGAGAAAAAAAAAAGTTTTAAAAGTTTGCTTTATATGTTTCTATTAACATAATGCAGTATGTTTAATATTTGTTCTTTTTGTTGTTCATCTTTTCAGCTTATTACACATTCATGGAAAGTAAAAAACACACACAATGGGCTGGAGAGATGGCTCAGTGGTCTAAAGCACCTACTTGAAACAAGCTTGGCAAAGCACAGGGACCGCGGTTCGAT